TTGAATTGAATTGAATTCTTGTAATTATAGACAAATAAGCATCATTTCTGTGTTTTAAAATATTTTGGAAAAGATGGTGTCCCAATTAATAAASCCCTTTACGTTAAATAATTTCTTAAATGCTTTCCAGTTTTCGTCCACCATAAAAAAAAACAGAAATGGCTGCTTGTTTTACCTAATTTCCCTCTGGGATCAATAAAGTATTTTTGAATTTGAATTTAATTGAATTGCTACTTTATTGAAGCGGTCATAGTACCATGATAGGACCAACAGTCCTATCTTGCTCCATTTAAAATTTCTGTCTTGCTCCATTTCAAAAGTTAAACAACTACTTCTAACTCATGATATCAGACTGAATGCTGTAAAAATGTGAAAAATTTTATGACTATAAACCAATCTCTTCTCTCACTCAGGGTTCAAGAATTATTTCAATAGTTTCGTGWGTCATATTTTGGTTTAGTCTTGTTAGGATGGGGTGGTAGCTTCGAAACTCCCACTCCTCAAAAACAAGAAAAGTCTGAAAAACACTGCTGATCRTTTTTGATGAGCTGAAACATTTATAAACAATAATGGGAGTTCAACAGTTAAAAATGGGAAATTTATATTTATGTRCTTGTTATATTTTTCCAACTTCCAAGTTCCCCATGGAGCTTTTTAAACTTGAGCTGTAATACGAACCGTCCAGCAGATGGCGCTCTCACAATAGAAGAAAAGTTGGACACATTACCAGTGCAAATTTTTACAAAAGGAACAGCTTCACATCACCCAAAATCATGATGCTATAATTGCTGTTTCCATATTTTCAAAGGTTTAAGATCACAGTYCATTAAACAAACTAAATTATCTGTGCCTGTCCACTGGTTCCTGACACAAAGCACTGGTCTAAGGAGCTTTCTTGCAATGTTTGACAGTAGCCCTCCTCTAAAAGCATACACTRTAATTTGTCTCAAACATAAAGTTGACGGCCCTATCATCAGACATGTGTGCTCTGTAATTCCAGCTGTTCTTTATACCGAAACAAGGAAGAAACATCTGTAWATTTGCTTTCAGATCAGGTCTTTGGCTTCACAAATTATTTCACGAGTAAGACACAAGGAAAAGAGAATTTTCTATATGAGCTGATAAATATCTGTAAAAAATTATTTCTCGCTTAGATGCCATTTGAGAAGCTCTGCAGCTTTCTCCGGCAACATTGTTTGTTATTATTTCAAATTCAGTCACTACTGCTGCTGATTCAGACATGCAAGTGGAAGTAAAAATCTGTTTCTGAAATCTTG